GGCACAGTGAGAGTCACGTAAGACTCAAGTGTCTTCAAGGAGGAACTGCAAGATGATTAATGCTCCAATATCTGCTTAATTACAAGTGCATGTCGGTCACCAGATGATATCTAGACTGAATTTAAGGTCTGAATCTTTTCCTGTGGAATGTGATCTGGATATTGTAAATGTGAGAATGAGGGATATGTGTGTTGATAGCTCAGTGGGGCAAAAAAATGACAAAGTTGTAATGGTTTGGAAGTACAAACTCTGAGACACCATGCCTTGTCCTCAGTGCTTTTGATGAGACATTTCTGAGTGGTTTAAAGCTAAGGTAAAATTTAATTTTTTTGGTGAAAGAGGTACTTAAAGAAAGATGGGAGGTAATACAGGTTTGTCTGAAGTTACCGAGCAGATAAAGACCTGCAAACACAACTATACTTCATGAGAGCCTATTTGTACTCTCCAATTATTCTGATGAGCTGCTTGGTTTTATAATTGTTCACAGGATGGGGCCCTGGGGCTGTTTGTATTATTATCTAGTAATACCACTGGATTAATGTGTCTGTGCGGTTTGTATATTGTAGTCATGACTTAAATACAGCTCAGTGCTGGGCAGGGTGAAGCAGCAGGTGGGAGGCTTGCAGTGCAGCCGAGGGGGTGACCAGGGAGAGGTGTCTGGCTCTGTGGTACCTTCCAGAGCTTTCAGCAAACACCAAAAACCATGCCAGGGCTGCTCTGCGAGCACAAAAGTTAATTCCACTTAAACAGGAGTTAAGGGTGGCAGGCTGCAACAGCTCTTGGGGTGGCTCGGGTGGGAAGCAGCTTGCAGCAGACGTGTAACAGCACCACAGAGCATGCATTAGAGTTGCTTTGGTCAAGAGTTGGTAATGAGGGTTCACAGTGGCCTGGAAAGTCTCTGAGGGCTGACAGGACTAGGCACAGCCTAGTGTGACGTGACAGGAGCACTGCAGCGTCGCAAGGCAGGGATGCAGACGTTGCAGTGGGGAGCACTGCGGCGGGGCGGCAGTCTGCATGCAAAGTGTTGGTCTGGCAATGGATTAATTTGGTTAATACTGCATATTTATGAGGTGTCCAGCTTCTGAGGTCAGGAGGGGGTTTCCTGTGGCTTTCTGGGATATTTGATGGAGCCTGGTGCTTTGGTGTGTGTGGAAGCAAAGGTGACAAGTTTTGTTCCTTGCTGGTGTGTGGCCAGCGTCATCGTTGTGTGTCACATCGCAGTATATCTCACCATGAGTGCCTTCAGGTGGGGCACTGGCCTATAACTGGTTACACGTATCTTCTCCAGGGTAATATGGTATATTACTGCAGTGCTATATAAGTCATTATTTGTAATACTGTACTGTGTGCAAAGAGGTAACCTTGAGTTTATTTCTGATTATGATTTGGCTGATGTCAGTAGTTCAGCTTCATCCACTCTGTACTTAACTCTCAAAACAGCTATAATCTTGTCTCCTTTTTTTTTTCATAGTGCACTGATTTAACCTCTTGTCAGGAGAAAATAAAGATTTGTTGGAAGGTTAGAGTTGTATCTCGAAGGCCGCCACAAACAAACCTAATTTTATACTTAATGCAGTAATTCTAGAGGATGGTGTCAATGAGGACATAATTGAAATAATTTTTAACATGAAAATCTTTAGAAATAAAACTTTACTCAGAGGTTATTGATTTAATTATGGTCACATTAGCTGCTTCCTTGCTTTGGTCGTGTGTGCAAATCTTGGACAAGGGTGGGGTGTTTTTTTTCCACTTGATGTGAATTCAGTCTGTTCAAGCTGCAGTGTAAATGGATGGGATTACTTTTGAACCAGCCCTTGGCCAGAAAACCAGTGAGTATGATTCAAAGCTGCTGTACAGAGAAGGAGAAGGTGTTAATTCGTCCAGGGTTTAAACATGCCTGTTCCTGGCACAAAATAGCCTGGCAATCATTTGACACCAGCCACCCCGCAGAGCAAAATAGGACAATGTCATTGTCCATTACAGCTGGTATCAGTTTGACTTTGAATTTAAATGTGCCAGCAAAAGAGAGTAAAGACAGACACCCTTCTGTTGCCTGCTGCACCTGTCTCCTTATCTGTGGAGTTTGGGCTATACTAGTTTTTAACTTGGCACCTTCTCGGCGTATTGGGTATTTATTTCTTTGAATACAGTGCAACAATTTTCTATGCTGCTCTTTGTAGCCCTAGGGAAATCACACGTGTGGATTGGTTAAAGAAGATAGCATTGCCTTGGCGCATTTTTCCATAGCAGTAGGTAATGGGTAGTGTGTATTAGTTAATAGTACTTGGACAGTTGTGATTTTGTGATGCACAGCCGCTCAGGCTGGCTGGCTGTTATGCCAATGTTTGTTGGGGGTTTTTTGTTAGCATTTTTTTTTTTAAATCCACAGCTTTCTCTTATTAGAAAGTGAAAATCACAACATTTGCTGATCTGATTTCTTATTCATTGCCATCTCCTCAGCCTGCCAGTATGGCATTACACATGTTATTAGTAAAAGAAGAATTAAAAAGTTCAGGAGCAGAAGGATGTGTAAGACTGGAAGGAGAACTGCTATGCTGAAGTCTCTTCTGGACAGATTCTGGTCAGCTGGCACAAGTCAGATGTGCATCTACTCTTTTTCTCCTCCAGCGGGAGGCCAGAGGATCAGCTTTTTGGAGCCAGCATGTTCTTTCTCCTCGCCGAGATTCAAATAGCCAGAAATTGTGGAACTTTCTTCATAAGGCCGCAGTCCCCCTGTACCCCCTAACTTACCACCTTACTCAGAGTTTGGACACCTCCAGCAACCATCAGCTTTCAGAGATCACGCTCCAATTTTGTTTTCTAATATGCAAATTTGAAGGAAACCACTACTGTCCACTGGAAATCCAGACAGCATCAGAAAGCTAATGCAATTTCTCATATTGTATCTGTCGTACCTTGTTCATTGTTTCCTGTATCTATTCTTATATTCCTGTTTCTAAAATCTTTCTCTTTCCTGTTGCTATGGTAAAAGCCTGCCTAAAAAGGAAGAATTATAGCAGTGAGATCCACTGACCTACAAAATAATCAGAACAAAGTTGCTCTGTACAGAGCTCTGCTTTTAAAGTAACTGGTAGAAAATCTGTAGTGGGAAAGGGAGATGGCCAAAGTACAGCGACAATGTACATGGATTTGGATTTAGTCAAAACTCCATCTTATGGGCAAAATTGCTGCTTCTGATCAGTGAATCTGTATAACTGGTTTCCTATATGCAGGAATTTTCCATGATTGCAATAGTAAAAGTAGTGGACACCCAAAAAAGCAGTCTTGGGTTTTTGTTTCTGTTAATAACTTTCAAGCTCCAATGTGATTTTCTCCTACATGTACATGAATGTCATTGATACAGTGTTGTATTACAATGACTCATCCTTGCTGGAGGCATGGTCCTTTTCCAACGAACTGATTTGAAATGAAATGAAAACCAAACCATGATTTTTTTGGTTCACCTCCCAGACTATAAAAATGGATGGTCTCATTAATGATTAACACAGCAGCTGTAGCTCAAAGGAGATCTGGAAGAAAACACTGCAGTGTCTCCCTCCTCCAGTAAATATATTGGCTTAACAGTTTTCTGTGCTTATCCTACCTTATTTCAGTATACACATTTGAATCCCAGCAGAGTGGATCTCTGCCTTCATACCTGGTTTAAGATAGTAAGGATGCATTAGTTCCTAGTTGCATCAGATAATTTTTTGCAATGTTATTACTACTTACTGGTTTGCAGTTCCCTGTGATGTTAGCAGTGGTTTTTAGAATGCTTTTCTATTTTGAACCAGTGAGGCATCTAAGATTTCCAACATCTTCTTGCCCACAGCATGGTTACATCATTAGGAATCAAGTAAAAGTTCACAACAATTTTACATTTACATGGACATCGCTTCTGGCATATTATTTTGCTATCGATAAGTCCTAGTTATAGCATTAAACTGTTTAAAAAATATATACATATATTATGGTCGCAAAATGTTTACTCCACAATTTTGGATTACAGTGTGCCTGGGCAGCTGACAAAACTCTAATGAACCAGTCTCTCAAAAGAACCAAAGGGATGTTTTTAGACTAAGTGTTCCCAGAATATGATTAACTGCCTAGCACTCAAGAAATAAAAGTGCTAAAAAAAAAAACCAAACTAAAAGAAAAAGCCTACCACACAGCAATTGTGCGTATGGCAAACAGCATACGATACAGTGGTAAGAAATCTGGAGGCTTTTGCCTGTTACTCTAGACAATCACTGTGAGCATATTCTCTTATAAATTGACTGATTTTGTTTTATGTTAATAAATACACCTCAGTCTCTGGAACCTTGTGCAAATTTTCAAATAGCTAACTCTAAATATAGGTGCACTTTTTCCTCTATATTCACTGCAAAATATTGGTGAATGCATGTATAGTACACCAGTTCCCTCCCTGGCAGAGATGGGGCAGATGCGGAAGCTCATCTGTGCACAGTTATGGTGGATAATGCCTCCAGAGTTTATCACAAGGTTGTTTCCGTGGTGTACATGATGATACTAACCAGCATGGTCCACCTGGCAGTCAGCAGGCTGATCCCGGCCCAAAGGGTGCTTGTTTAGCCTGCAGTTTTTCAGGGCAGCAAAAGGAGCTGCTGCTCAAATGGTTACACAGCACCTCCTGCAAGGAGATCACTCCGAGCCAGATGTTGTGCTCATGCCAGGAAGAGGATGGGAGAGGAAGGGGGAGGCAGGTCTGCTCACGTGAGCCCAGCAGAGTCCTGAGCCCTTGCCATAGCTGTTTGTGAGACAGTGGGTGGGAGGATGCTGTGGCCTGAGGCGTAAGCGTGTGGTGGCGGAAGTGAGAGTTCCCACTGCTGTGTCCCACCACAGGACCTGAAATCCAGATCCAGCTGGTGTAGCTGCAGAGGCTGAAGTATGCTGGAGTGTTTGTAATTTTGGTTGACAACACTCAATTCTCATTTGCTTTCACTGACCTGAGTGGATATGTGCTTCTTTCATTAGAGATCCGAGCTCAACTCATCGAGCAGCAGAAATGCCTGGAGCAGCAGACTGAAATGAGAGTGCAGCTTCTTCAGGATCTGCAGGATTTCTTCCGCAAGAAGTCGGAAATAGAGATGGAGTATTCCCGGAACTTGGAAAAATTGGCAGAGAGGTTCATGGCAAAAACAAGAAGTACAAAGGACCATCAGCAGTACAAGTAAGAGAGATTTCCTTCCCCCTCGTCCGCGTGATAGCCATTGCTGGAGTGCTGTGCTGCTCTTTGCTTCTGCTGGTTTTGAGTACTACTAGGTTGAGCCCAGGTTCAAAGACATATTTAAAATTCCCACCCCTACTTAGCAGCATAGCAGTTCTCATTGTAATTGAAAGTAGCCAGGTGCCTAAATACTGTTTTGTTGATTTGGCCTTCTGCAATTATTCATGTAAGCTTCTGACAAGTGGTTTCAGTTTCTTAAAAGGTAGGCTGCACACATATTACCCCTAACCTGCCATACAGAATATAAACCACCCAAAATACAGCCAATACCTAGAAGAGATGGAGAGCCCCAAAAGGGCTTGAAAGCTCTGTGCTGATCTGTTGCAGTGGAGTTGATAGGATTTGAAAGTGTCTAAATAAAGGTCAATCAACATTACAAAAAAAAAAAAAAGACAGGAATTTTGACCAAAAAGGCATTAAGAAAGAAAACTGTTTTGATTTGTTGTTGCATGTGAATTTGTGCTGCCTCTTGACCCTCTTATTGCTGAAAATGAAGATGATGTGAATGTAATGCCTTGCTTAGAATTTAATGTATCATCTCTTTCATGGCATAGTAACTTGTGTGCAAAACAAAAGTGGTCAGGTAGCATCTGGCAAAACGTGTGTACAGCATGTTTTGTAAAGTGTTTCAAAGGCATTACCTGTTGGCATAGTCTCGTCTGGTTATTTTCCTGACTTGAGCTGATTAATGAATGCATTTGCCTGGCCCTGTTATGCTTAGGGGTATAAACCAATGTTTTGTGCCAGGTCCTGCACTTGGGTCACAACAACCCCATACAACGCTACAGGCTTGGGGAAGAGTGGCTGGAAAGCTGCCTGTCGGAAAAGGACCTGGGGGTGCTGGTTGACAGCCGGCTGAACATGAGCCGGCAGTGTGCCCAGGTGGCCAAGAAGGCCAATGGCATCCTGGCCTGTATCAGAAATAGTGTGGCCAGCAGGACTAGGGAAGTGATCGTGCCCCTGTACTCGGCACTGGTGAGGCCGCACCTCGAATCCTGTGTTCAGTTTTGGGCCCCTCACTACAAGAAGGACATTGAGGTGCTGGAGCATGTTCAAAGAAGAGCACCGAAGCTGGTGAAGGGTCTGGAGAACAAGTCTTATGAGGAGCGGCTGAGGGAGCTGGGGTTGTTTAGCCTGGAGAAAAGGAGGGTCAGGGGAGACCTCATCGCTCTCTACCACTACCTGAAAGGAGGTTGTAGCGAGGTGGGTGTCAGTCTCTTCTCCCAAGTAACAAGTGATAGGACGAGAGAGGAAACGGCCTCAAGTTGTGCCGGGGGGGGCTAGGTTGGATATTAGGAAACATTTCTTCACTGAAAGGGCTGTCAAGCATTGGAAGAGGCTGCCCAGGGAAGTGGGTGAGTCGCCATCCCTGGAAGTATTTAAAAGACATGTAGACGTGGTGCTTAGGGACATGGTTTAGTGGTGGACTTGGCAGTGTTAGGTTAACGGTTGGGCTTGATGATCTTAAAGTTCCTTTCCAACCTAAATGATTCTATGATTCTATGACTCTATGATTTATGTTTGTAAAACTGAAAAATAAGTACCTTTTTCCACTGTCCAGTCAGTGCTGTGCTAGAGATACATAGACAGAGCTTTTGTTTCAGGAGAAAAGTCTTTTCCAAACACGTCTAGCAAAGGAAAGGTTAATCCAAATACAGCTTGCACTGTTCAAAGAGCAATAACATATATTTCTTAAAATTCAGTTAAGTGACTCAATGATTCCCTGAAATAACCAACATGTGCATATGTCACCACTTCAGAGAGAGCCCTGGCTTCTGTTCATCTTGTGGCAAAATCTTTTTGCCTTGTGCATACAAACATCTTTCCTCGTTCTTAAACATGTGTTAAATCCAGACTGGCAGATCTGCACGGGGGTCATGACTGGAGTCCTGCCTTCGGCTTTGTTCTGCAATTCTCTGATTGCTTTGAGAGGAGGTTGCAGCAAAAGTCACTTTAACTGGTGGTCCCCCATGCTGTTCCCACCATTCCCCCCAGAACAGGCAGGAAGGTCTGTAGGACTGGCTTTGGGACATGGAGAAGCAGTGAGGACCAAGTAATATCAGCATGGCTCTTCAGAGGTGCTCATGTTGGCTGACCTGGCTGATAAAACCCTGAAGCTCCTTGCTGTGAGTAACACTGTTAAGATGTCCATCTCAAACAAAATGGGGAAGTTTCCTTTACTCACTTCTGATTCATAGCAAAGCAAAGCACTGATGATTAAGAAAAGGCTTTTGTCTGTTAATCATTTGTTGTTGCTTTTGATTCTGGGAGTGAAAGCTGAAGGTGGACAATTAGGTGAGGAATTAAAGGGCATATTTCTAACAGTGAGAATAGTTAATTATTAGAACAATTCACCAAGAGTTGAAGGAGTTTCTCCCTCAATTCATCACCACCTCTGGCTGTTTTATCTTCACATGCTTGATCCTTTTGACTCTAGGAGAATCCCTGCACAAGAGGAAAAAAAAGAGCAGCAAGTTTCTATAGCTCTTAGTTGCAAGGCAAACTTGAAATTAAAATTTCAACAAAATCATAAGGCAAAATTTATAAATAGGTTTTTGTTGTCTGTGAAACAGTTGTTGAACTACATGTATTTTTATTTTACTTTGTGTAAAAGAAATGAGAAGTCATCTGGGATTTCACTTTTTGCAATGTTAAAAACTTGGAGTGGGCCTATAATGCAAAAAGTCTGTCAAGGAAATTCAGAACTGGACCACCGCAGAAAAAGTCCAGTCCTGTTGTTTGTCTTGTAATTGAGCCATCTGGGACTGGCAGTAGCAGTATATTTATGAGTGCTGTGAATTTATGAATGCTGATCACAGAATATGTATGCTTGTGACATTTCCTCCTACTTTTATAGCAGTTATACAAACCCATTGCAGTGAAACAGCTACACCTGCAATTTTGCGATCTTTATTGATTTTGAATATTTACATGTACTCCATCTGTAAGCAACTGTAAGCTTTGTGGCAAGATTTTTTTTATACTCTCAGGTGGCTTGCAGTGTTCTGAATTCTTACTCTTTTTCTATATTTTTGTATCTGTGCCTCATGGGGTTTGTAGAATGTGTCTTAAAAGAGTGATCTGAAGCTTGCCTCACCCAAATTATTCCAAGAACAGATTGACTGACTGTTCAGAAGCAGCCGTTTTTACATAACAAGTTATGACTGTAAATGTCAGGGAGATGTTTGTGTTAATAATGTAACTTTTTCATTTCTGTACATAACATCTGTGTATCTCCTCCTTAGGAAAGACCAGAACCTCTTGTCGCCAGTGAATTGCTGGTACTTACTCCTGAACCAAGTGAGAAGAGAAAGCAAAGACCATGCAACGTTGAGCGATATCTACCTGAACAACGTGATCATGCGGTTCATGCAGATAAGCGAAGACTCCACCAGAATGTTCAAGAAGGTAATGCCTCTCCTGCAGTCCTCCAGCCGGGCTTGTAAGATGCATGAGGGAGGCAAAAGTGTCCTAATAGGTAGCATTTGCGGAGAAGATTCAGCACACGTAGCATAAAATCTGTTTTAGCACACGTATAAATTCTTCATGACTGTTCTCGCGGAGCAAATCCTTAGTGCTGAAATGCCTGGGAACCTGCTGTATATGCTGGTGACCTTAAAAGCTGAATCGCAAATATCCAAAAGGCAGGGAAAAAAGCCTGTTCTCTCAAAAGCACGCTTGTCTACCCATGCAGAAAGGAAACAGTTTTCGCTTAGGACTCCCAAAATAGTAATGCTGTATTAATGAATTATTGGTAAAAACAGTATTTCATTGTAACTCTGTCATGAGAGAAATGGATTCAAGCCAAAATAAGGGTGTGCCTTGTAATGCCTTGGCATAAAGATGGTAGTGTATGCTACGGTTCTCCTAAAAGTGTTTCCTTTCCTTCCCAATATTAAATATGAACATACACTTTTGATAACGTAACTACTTCTATTAGATCATTTAAGCATTGTCTCTGTACATGTTTGTCCTTGTACGTGCCCGTTATGTGTTTTTATAACACATACAATGTGTAAATCCCTCTTGTGCTAAGCAAGCACTCTAGGCAGCCTGAGTTTGAGATCTATGTAATGTGTTTGCAGTCATTGTTGTTACAATGTTCTGAAATAAAAATAGATTATAAATGCATGTCCGTCAGTCACAGTGGGATGCTGGTAGGCAAGTGTCATACAAAAAAGAGTTAAAAAAGAATAAAGGTTAAAGAATGTAAAGTGTGTGACTAAATGGTGGCAAGGGTACCAGATTAATGTTTTTGAAATAGGGAACTGATTTCACATATACCTGACCACAATCCTAGATAGATAGCAGTGGGGTGGGGAGAAGAATCATTTAGGGAGCGCACAGGTTGTACTTGGAGGAAAAAAAGTAAAAACATGAATCAAATTTATTGGTGTGCATTAAAACCTGTAACAGTAATAGAGTTGAAATTTATAGTTTCTCAATCAGTAATGGTCTGTTCATGTAATATGTCTGATGCATAAAACTGTAGTTCACAAACCACTAAACTTACTAATATGGAAGATTATTATAGAAGTTGGAAAGATAATGGGAAAAGCAACTTGAGCGTGCTGCAGTACTGTCTATGTGGAGATATCTCAGACTTGCTTGGACCAGTAGAAATTTTTCAGTATTGAATCTGGAATAGTTTTTCAGTTGTTTATGTCATATCTCAGAAATCTCTTCTTCACTAGGTGTGCGTTATTAGACTAGCCTGTTGGCTTTCAGTGTAGTTCAGTTCTTTAGCACTGGAAATCTTGCTTTTCCTTCCCTTCTGTCCAGATGGACTGTACAAAACTATCTAGATAAAGTTTTCCGTGTAGAAGTGTGTGTCCTTCTTTATTCACTCATAACTTATTAATGAAGATTGCTGCAGCTTACCTCTCGGAAGGAGGAAAATTTGTGGACGTTTTCAGTGCATTAACAGGAGGCATATTGTCATATCTTCCTGACAGACTCGTCTCTTTCCTCCATGCTGTGTCCAGGAACATGCAACATTTCAAATTTTCTCTTTCTAGCATGGCTTCTTGAAGAAGAGCAAGCAGCTGCTCTTGCTTTTTTATTCCTAGCTTGGATCTTCTACAGGGGAAAGAAAAGAAAGGAAATTCAGCGAGTCCTGCTGTGCATAACCTGGAGCTCACCTTCGTGGAGCCCATATCCTCAACAGCCCTATCCTACCTTTCAGCAGGGTTTGCCAGCTGACACTCAGCATGTCACATGTCACATCAAATAGCTGTTAGCTGCAGTGGAGCACAGGCAGAGTGAGCTCACCAAAGGCTGTGTGAAGGGATCTGAGCCAGGCCCAGTAATGTGAGGGGAAGGGTGGCAGGAAGACAAGCGGCACTTCAGCATGGTGTAAGTGAGCTTCACAAGCACATGGCCTGAATGTGGCAGTGGTTGTTCACCAGTATTAATTTTGAGCACTTATTTTTAGGACTTCAGTCTGTCAGGAATCAACACTTGTTGGAGAAGGTTGGTATTTCCACTGAGTCCCAGTGTGCACAGTTCTTGCTGTGGTGCTTGCAGCACAGTACTGATGATTTATTTGCTGTTAGTTCCCAGCTGCAGAACTGATTATACCTGGAATGATGATGAAGCTCCAGTTTCTCTTCTATGAAAAGGGAAGGCAGCTATAAAGTGAGTTGAACAACACTGGAGAGAGAGAAAAAAGACCTGTGCAGGAGGTGAAGCTGTTAGCAAATTGTCTTGCTTTATTGATGAAGAACATAAGCTGTCTACATCTATGTTTAGTCCAAATGGGCAGCTTCAACCATAATGGTCTCTAAAGGACCCTTCCAACCCAAACCATTCTATGATTCTGTGATAATTTCTGTCAGATGTGAATGAGCAGTCTAACTTAAGGTCGTCACAGACTGTCTCAGAAATGCTTAATGGATATCCACCAGGCAACAGAAAGAAATTAGGTAGAGAACATGTGTCCTGTACTACATTCCCCCCTTGCAGGCAGAGGTCACAGGAGCAAAGAGAAGGTGCACTTAGAATGAGAAAGGTGACATCCAACACTCTCCTCCGTCAAATTGTATTCTCCCTAAAGAAAATGGTGTGGAATTTGTTGGAACATCAAATAGATTTGTGGAACATCAAATAGAATATTTAACCAATTTCTGTCACTTTCTGTAGGTTACTTTTGAGAAGATTGGATTTGGAATAAAGTTCTGTCAGAGAAAAGTATAAGCAATCTCAATGGGTGTCATCCCTATGAAAGCGTATGGGATTTGTTCACTGTTCACAGATTTCAGATTAAAGTAGAGACAAACCATATCCTGCAGATACTTCTACACTGGAGTCTGATCATACTGTTCTGTGAAATATGTACTCTCTCTCTTATAAGTAATAAATGTAAATAATAAGAACAGTAGTAATATGAAGATTTCAAAAATAAAGGCTGACAAGTGCATGCTTAATATCTTACTGCAGACCATGGTCAAGAGCAGGAAATACACCCGTCTAACGTATCTGTACTCCATTGGCTCTCACAGCATTGCACATAGGAGCACTTAATGTCTTTCTAAGTAATTTCCAAATACCAACTAATCAAGCTTCTCTATATTCAGTAATTAGATCATTTAATTATATATCTACCAGTTTATTAACCTAATAGCGTTATGCATCGCTATTATCATCTTGTTTTAGTTCTCCCTTGGTCTTGCAGCAGCAGCTGCTGCATCTTTGGAGGTGCTTTAGCTACACTTCCAAGTCTGGAAAGTAACTACACCAAGTCCGTGATCAGAGCAGATCTCCATTGTTCTACTCTGCCTGTAGATCAGCATTCTGATCTATATCAAAGCTGCCTGTTGCGGAAAGGGAAGTGGCCTCAGAGTGGATTGCCCCATTGCTCACAAGCAAGATACGGGGAAACAACAGCAAAGTCACTCTGAGCTTCTTGGCTCTTCCTGCTCCCTCTTTTTTTGCCCCCTCTCTCCTCCCAAGAGGATGAGGCTGCCCATTCTGCTTCTCAGTGGTACCCCTTACTGGCTTTTTCCACCTCACTGGTGGGTGCGTAGGTCCTCAAATGAAACTTTTCCATGAAGTGAGCCCAACATTTTCTAGAGGGATACTGTTTGTATGCTATCCTAAGATTGGCTCCAGCTTGAATTGTAGTAATGAAAAGATCGAACAATTTCCTCATTTCCTGGCTATGCTTACCAGTAGAGTATTGTTTTGTTCCCTCTCCTGCTGATGTCTCCTGTGTGGGATAGAGCACAAAGTTGTGAGTCTGTAGCAACCCCTTTCTCTAGTCCTTCGGTAAAAAGTGTGTGCAGTACACAGTGTTGGTCTATATGAAATGTAGTGACGAGGGATGTCTGTGCCCCTTGGTCTTCGTACCTTGCCCTTGTCTCACTGTCTGTTCTTCTTCATTCTGGTTCTTCCTTTTGTGTGCATCTATACATCTATCTCAACATTTGGATTGCTTTGGTGAAATGATCCCTATTGGTTCTATCTTACATGTTCTGATGGGGCAGGATATAATGTATTCAGGTACCTGATTGTACATGGCTTTCCTGTCTAGGCTGGCCCACGTAACATGTGGATATTAATTATTTTTGTTCTCCTGGGAGCTCTTTGTCATTCTTTTTTCCAGGGTTCAGGAACCAGCATCTGTTTATATGTACTAAATGCAGGACAAAGATAGGATCTAGTTCAGAGATTTTGTGACATTTATCTGATGATATTATGTCAGGCCTCATACTTCCAGATAGGCACTTAAGCTCTTCTTCTTTTTAGTTGCTGGCATATAAAAGCAGTACAGATTGCTGTTCATGCCTAGCCTTCATGCTGCACATAAAATTACAAACATAAAGTAGCAGAGTTCAAACCTTGCATGCTTGCGTGTTTCTTCAGGCAGATGGGGTGGATGGCCTCATGGGGACAATTAAAGAATAAAATAATAAGGAAAAATGTCAAGCAGAAGGGAAAAGTATTATGTAGAACATTTCATGCAGTGGTTCTGGTTACCCCAGCATTAATAATCAACTGTATAAACACATACCCACAAAATCTTTAAGCAGATTTGTATATTTATAATTTATAAACATGTATTTTCCTTGGACAGAAACCATAACGAGCCAAGATGAACATATCTTCCAGTGTTTACAGTAAAAGATGCTGGAGAAGCCAAGCACAATAAATATTTTAGTTCCATAATCTGGCTATTAACGAGGAATATGACTGCCTGCCAAATCTATTTGATGTTATAAAGATTGTGGCATATATAGAGATTTTTTGCATCATTTTCTTAAACATTTGAAGGTTTAAAAGGATAGCAAAGCTATTTGTTGCTACAGACTGGCAAATCTGGGACAAAATTCTACTATGAGTTGGTTATGTCAGTGTCACCACAGCTCATGAAAGCTCCTTAAAAGAAGGGTTTGCGCATCACTTCCCCTAGGGACCAGCAGCAGACTCATTTAAAAGCAATAGTCACAGAATATTTTCCCTAAATGATGTAACTGAGAGTAACATTGTGTGTGCTAAATACAGACACTAAAGAGTTCCAGGAAGAACTGAACTGACTCTTAAATTTCAGTAAAAAAAACAAAGGAGTAAAGTTTGGGTGCCCAATTATGCTCTGAAATGGATGGAAAAATTCTTACAGACTTCAATGAAAGGATATTAATGTGGAATAAAATTTTAAGTTTCTCAGACATTAATCCATAAATATAAATCTTGATAACATCAATAGGACCACTGATGTGTTGAAAGTTGAGCACATACTGAAAGGCTGTTTTAGGTACGCTTATTTGTCTGTTGCATGGGCGTGATCTATCCTACTATCAGGTGAAAGAAATACGCTACTGTCTTTTAATGCTTTGAACCAGATTAGTAACATACATAGTATTTTTAGCAAGAGTTTGCACGTGCTCTAACATTTTTATTATGTTCTTTGTTCTTTTGGTTAATAGATGCCAACACATTTCTCTAGGACATAGTGAATAAAGCAGCACCTCAGTGATTGTTTGTCAGGTTTTAATGGCCTGATTAGAGCTATCAACTCAGCTCCAGGAAAATGTACGCTGCATCTTACATTCTGTTGTTTGGCTACCCTGAGGATAGGCTCCTAGAGGACACACCGTTCAAACATGCTGAACTACTGCAGGGAATAGGCAGCATAAAAGAGAAATAGGAGAGCCATTAACGACTGAAAATAAATGCACTTCTTATCTGGTGCTCTAATGCGCTATATATTACACACTAAAAGCCATATCACTTGCAACTCGAGTCAGTATTTCTTGATCTTAAATGCTAATGTGAAATGTGCTGGTTCTTGAGAATAAATCCCTTCTATTCTGCTAAGGTTAACCAAATTTCCTGATTTTTATTGGACAATCCCTACAAAATCTTTCATCAGAAAGAGGCAGCAACTGACATGTTACCCATCACTACAGGCACCCTCTGCAGGTTGGAGTCCCCAGATGAACTGGTGGAAGGATGACTCATCTATGATCATGTGGCATTGCTAGGCTGTCTTCCTAATTTTTACTCTTTTTGCTGATCACCTCCCTCCCTCTCTTTTTACTTCCCATTTTAAAGCCTATTGCCCTTTCCTAAAAACATCTCCATCTTTCCTCTGCTGTGATCTCTTCCATTCACTTTCAAATTCACCATTGATCAATGTGTTGCCTGGAAAAGATCATGTATGCATGCTGGCCAGTAAATCCTGAGGGCTGGACCACTTGTGCTTCAGTGCTGGACAAAGCTCTACAGGAGCAAAGAGAAGAAATGGGTCCCAGTAAATAGTGATCATTCCGCGAATCCTCAACTCATCTGGTGTCTATTTGCATTAAAGTGTAACTGAAGAGCAGAAAAGGAGGGCACGTCTTTCAATGAACTGCTGTGTGCTTTGCTTACAACAAAATATGCAAAGGGTAAAGAGAAAATTGGTTTGGGGTTTTCTGTCTCACCTCCTCAAATGAACTTTTGCGCTGCCAGGTTAAGGCACGCTGCCTTAGAATCGGCGTTGCTGTATTTAGGGCTTGAGTTGTCATCAGCTTTGAGATGGTAGTGACCGACAGTTGAAAGGGATAAATTGCTTGAAGCTGGAGTTCATCTACAGTTTTTTCCCACATGTGTATGCTTTCATCTTCCAGTCTTAATGTCAACCATCTTATTTTTATGTTTTGTCCTTCTTTCTGCTAAAGTAATTAAAAAACAGACTGCTCATATTCAGCACTATAGAAGCAGCTATCCAAGAGAAAACAGGTGGCCTCCACTTCTTGGAGCTTCGAGGAGATGTGTAAGCTGTGTCAGAGCTGCGCTGCTGACTTTTAAAGGCCGGGTGCCAATGTAAAGCAATGAAAAGCAATTCAGAATTATTTCTGAAGGT